CCGCATGGAGAGAAACTGAAAGAGAGGAGAAAATAAGAGCGTGTGGTGACGTCAAAACGCCGAGATCCGATTAGAAGGATATAGGGAGTATTCCCCGGACGCCATATTTGTGGGTGCTGTTTAGAGCGCATGCTCAGAACGAGCTCACATTGATAGGCTGCTAAGACCGGCACTCTTGATGGTGCGGAATGCACGTTGCAAAGTTAACTGTGGAAGCTCGCCATCAGCACGCGCTCAGCAGTCGCGCACACAGCTATGGCCGCCAGTGCATACTCCCTATTGGGCAGACGCAAAGAATACCTGCCTTTGTCTCTCTGTCTGCCTCACGAGACCCTGCGCGCGGAGCAGACGACACTCTTGTTTGCGCTGACTGGAGGGAAACAGTGAGATAGAGAGAAAGGCAGATAGCCTGTGCGTCTGCCCAATGTATCTTTCGAATTAGAGCTCTGCGCACTGACGTCACCACCACTCCCTCGTTTCCTCCTCTCCTTCAGCTTCCCTTCGTACGCGACGAGAAACTGGAGGAGAGGAGGAGACGAAAGGGACGTCAAAACGCCGAGCTCTGGTTGGAAGGATTAGGGGGTAGACCTAAAGCTAGCGGCCTTTCTCTCCACTGCACTCGTCGAATGCGTTAGAACGCGGAACGCCGGCCTCTGGCGTTTGGCTTTCGCATTCGAACGCCTTCGACGGGTGCAGTGTAAACAAATTTGGCAGCTATAGCTTTAGAGACCTAAAGCTAGCTGCCGAATTTGTTTGGCAGCTAGCTTTAACCCACTGATCCTTCCAATTCCAGAGCCCGGAGTTCTGGTGCCCTCGCCCGCGCTCTCATTTCCGCCTCTTCTTCAGTTTTTCGCCGCGTATATACAGTCTCTCTGAAAACGCCGATTCGAATTGCGGACGCGGCTTCTCCGTCGATGGGAAACTCGACAACGGCAAACAGTTGTGCGGCGACGCATCCTTAAAATATGACGACAGCGCGGACGGACGACAGTGGAGGTTCGTTAGCGGGCACATGCGGAGTTGTATGCGCGCGTTGTTGACCACGTATTTGGGTCGGCTGTCACTGCTCGAGAAACGACCTCTAATGCCTCGTTCACACTGGCGAAAGACACTCTTGCGGGCGACCATATTTGCTGATCCCCCAAAATAAACAAACACGCATGTCGTTTACATTTTTTCGCACAGCCGTCTTGCCCGCGGGGCTCCTGTCTCTCGCGGATACCACGACGCTTCACGCTGCGGCCTCTAAAACCGTGGTCACATGTACTGCTAATACATCATACAAATAAAAATCTCAGACGCTGTCTGAGGCCTTTTTTTCTCCTTATATGACAGGTCTGTCACATCGGTCATAGAAAATCTGTTTGCAAATCTCATACATGCTACAATTAAGACAGTCTGCGTGCAGATTCAAACGCGAGTCACTGTCTGTGCTTCGAATGCCGCGTGGCAATGAGTTCAAGGAGAACAGCTGTAAGGCACGCGGCATTCTACCAACGGATATATTGCGGTGACTCGTGTCTGCCAGACTGTCTTTTGTGTGATATACGAGCAGTGGGACCCAGGCTTTATAGGGTTTCGCGACTATACGGCGGTACGGCTCGCTCGCACAGCTCGTTTGTCAGTTTGTGCTGGCTTGTGTAGCTGCTTCACCAACTGCGAAATACGGGTGCAGTGAACGGGAAAGCTATCTGTGGCACTAGGACGAAAGCAACAGGTGTACGGAGCCAGCCTCACCCGATGCGACAATTGAAAAAAAAAAAAAAAAAAAACCTGCTCTCGTAGGGTCCCCTCGGAGTAAACACATTACTGCGATACAAAATAGGTAACCGTCTGCAGCGCCGACATGCAGACGAGAGGAAACGTATGTGCACGCCGCTTACGCCTAATTCTGCGCAGATCTTATTCCCCGGAATTTTATTCTGAGCACTGTCTTTGTACGCGAAAGGTATCTTATCGTAAAGGACTGGATATTTCTGTACTGCAGACATCGGGGAGGGGGGGGGGGGGGGGGGGGGGGGCGGGGAGGGAGGCTATTTGTACAAAATATGTTAATACACGGATAAACTCGACAAAATTTTTTTTTTTCATTAAAAATGGAATTACACGTTCTAGAAAATATTTAAAGGGAACCTAAAGTGGTTGAGTATTTGAGGAAAAACACTTAAATTGTGTTCATTTGGCCTCCAAAATCGCAAATATCGGAATTATTTTTTATTTCTTTTTTTTATTTTGGTGCACGGAGGTCGCGGAAAATTATTTTCAAAGTACCGCTGAAGCCCCTCTTTCCCGGAGCGTGACGTCATATTAGGAGTTGTTTTTTTTTTTTTTTAATATCCGCTCTTCCCCATCTCGAGCGCCTGTCGAAGCTCTGCACGCGCACTCTCGCTATTTTCGAGAAAGTTAGAAAAGGACATCACCACTAGTATCAGTGCAGGGGAATATACCGGGCAGTAGGGTGACCACCCGTCCCGCGATTCGCGGGACTGTCCCGCAATGAGCGCTCGTGTCCCGCGTCCCGCAAGAAATACTCAAATCTTCAAAATGTACCGCATTTTAGATTGTCGCAACTTCCACTACGCAAATTATCGCGCTTCCTAACAACGGGCGACGGGGAAGCGTAGAGGTCTCTGATAAACGTGTGAATCTCGATGGTCGGCCATTTTATATACAAGCGCTGCGGAAAGCGACCATCATTCTTGCAGAAGACAGACGCGCATACGCCGTTGCGCCTCTCGCCTTGATGGCAAAACATTGCAAGTGAAAGTTGCTCGCTAAATGTTGAAAAATAAACTATCGTAATTATTTGCAAATCCTACTGTGTCGCGCAAAAGGGTTGTTGTGGAATGCTCTTTTTTTAG